TTAGACAAGCTTCGTTCAGGCTGAGTCATGGTGCCATTAGCTGTGAGCTCAATGTTATTGAATCAACAGTTTGGTTCACCCAGAAAAAGGAAGAGGAACTGTGCAGATCCATACAAAAGGCCACTCCAGTAAGGGCTCAAGTCAGGTCCACAGTGCATGACAAAGCAATGGGAAAGGGGCTACATGCGTGGGTTCCATTCAGCATCAATGCCTGAATGGTCATGACAATTAAAAAAGCATAGTGGGGACGAGGATGCAGAGAAAGGGGAACCCTCCTACACTGCTGGTGGGAATGTAAACTAGTTCATCCATTGTGGAAAACAGTGTGGAGGTTCCTCAAAAAACTAAAAATAGAAATACCATTTGACCCAGGAATTCCAATTCTAGGAATTTACCCAAAGGAAACATGATCTTAGATTCAAAGAGACATATGCACCCCTATGTTTATAGCAAGACTATTTACAATAGCCAAGATATGGAAGCAACATTAAGTGTCCATCAGCAGATGAATGGATAAAGAAGATGTGGTACATATACACAATGGAGTATTATTCAGCCATAAGGAGGAAACAAACCCTACCATTTGCAATACCAGGGATGGAGCTAGAGGGCATTATGCTTAGTGAAATAAGCCAGGTGGAGAAAGACAAGTATCAAATGATTTCCCTCATTTGTGCAGTGTAACAACGAAGCAAAACTGAAGGAACAAAACAGCAGCAGACTCACAGACTCCAAGGAGGGACTAGGGGTTACCACAGAGGAGGGGTGAGGTAGGGTGGGTGAGGAGGGAGGGAGAAGGGGATTGAGGGGTATTATGATTGACACACATCATGTCGGGTGGGGGGCAGCCGTGGGGAATGCAGTGCAGCACAGAGAAAACAAGTGGTGACTCTGTAGCATCTTACTACACTGATGGGCAGTGACTGCAGTGGGGTATGGGGGGTGGGGATAATATGGGTGAATATAGTAACCACAACGTTTTTCATGTGAAACCTTCATAAAGTGTATATCAGTGATACGTTAACAAAAATAGAAAAGGAAAAAGAAAAAAGTTCTAACACGAGCTATACCACAGTTGAACCTTGACGACATTATGCAAAGTGAAATAAATCTGTCACAAATACGGTGTGATTCCACTTCCATGGGATACAGAGTGGTCAAGTTCAGAGAAACAGAAAGAGGAAGGCTGTCGAGGGGTGTGTGCAGGGATGGGAGTCACTGTTTAATACACACAGAGCTGCAGTTTGGGAAAATGAAAGAGTTCTAAAGAGGAACTGGAGTGGGTTTGCATAACAATATGAATGTATTTAACACTACTGAAATCATACATTTTCGAAACGGTTAAAATGGGTCCTTGTGTAGCTTATCATAATTTTTTAAAAAGAAAAAAAAATAAGCATTGGGATTTGCGTTGATAAAATGACAGGCCCAGGACCACTGTCAGACCAGTCAGAATCCAGACAGCAAAGCAGGCAAGAAAAAGGCCGCCCGTTCTTGAGTCACGCAGCTCCACCCCCTTGTCAGAACATCCCCCGCACTAAGGGCCAGATGGGCTACCGACATGTCAAAGCAGCCTTAAAAGCAAGCTCTGGCTTCAAGGGCAAAAACCCTCAAATAAATCAAAGCCAGCTCTCAGCCTCCACCCCTGCCCAAGGGGTAAAAAAATAGCTCTCTTCTACCTCCTATTGGCAGAATTTGGACTGGGTTTTTGAGATCACAGGGCTGGATCTGACTCATAGGTAGGAAACGGAATGGAAATCAGGAACAATAAAGTTACTGCAAATTTCTGATGAGCAGATATGATTTCTTTACCAGCGCAACAACTGTAGATCTCTGTAAACTGCCTAAGGAAAACCAACCTGTACAAGATGTCTGTTGTCCCGTTGGGACTCTACGGACGGAGGATGGACGCGGGCATTCCAAACACTATACACACCACTACAGGGTGAGCTCTTAAACAAACAATGAACATTGTTTGAATGGAGAGATGGAACATTGAATAGGAGAGATATATCAAGTATCAACAAAAGATATGGGGTTTTTTTTCCTAAATTTTTTACAATAAAAAATTTTTTTAACAAAGCTGAGACCAAAGCTCATGCAGGATTCTGTTGTCAAACACTGTTCTCACTTGAGTCCTAAGGGTGACCTTGTGACAGGGCCAGAGCTGGTCCGTGACCGTCACTGTTTCATGGATAAGGATGCCGGGGACCGGGGGCCGGGGACTGCATGGGCATACAAACATTCAGGAGATGCTCTGAAGGCATCTCTCAGAGACCACTCCTGCTATATCCAGTCAGAGGGCTTGAAAATACAGAAAGGAAATGGGAGGGGATAAGACCAGAGAGGAAGACAGGAAGCCCTACTTGGCAAGAGCTGGAAGGGGGCCTGCAGGTCAGAGGGCACCGGTACACAAACACGCAGCCACACAGAGACAGAATGTGGCACCGGTGCCAGCCTTAGCCTTCGGGCATCCTTCCAGTACCCTGGCTACGGACCAACATGGTCCCTTGGGGTTGAAGGTAGGGGTCGCTTTGAGCCTTCTCTGCCCTTCTTCCTGCCCCCCCCTGCAAAAAGCCAGGAGCTTAAGGAGAGGCTTTGCAGGCAGAACACCAGGCAGCCTTCAACATTCATCTTGGGTTCTGCCAGCTGACAGCGAGTCAGTCACCGGAGTCTGGGCACTATCTGACCAGATCTGAGGACTCAGTGGCTTGCCCAGGGACTCAGTCACTGTCAGGGTCATTCTCATGGCCCAGAGAAGGGAGGCAAGCAAGGAGTCACTGCTGCCCAGCAGTGGGGCTCTCCTCACCCCGTTTCCTCCCTTTTCTCTCATCAAAGAGGACTGGGGTACAGAAAAGATGCGAGTGCTATGGAATCTGTTCCAGACGTCACAGCCAACTGGGGACGCATCCACCAAATGAGATTTGGGTGAAGCCAACCCAGACAAGGCGGGATTTGCCTGTTGCACTCCAACCCCCTTCTTACATGGCCAGGCTGCCAGGAAAAGGCAATGGCGACAAGAAGCCCAAAATGCCAAAAGGAGGGCCTGGGGGCTGCTGGGCCACCGGTGGCCTGTCACCCTCCTCATCCATTCCTTTGTTCATTTATTCATGTGCTCAGTATCTGAACACCTCCCGTATGCCAGCCCTGCAGACATGGCAGTGAAGCAAACAGACGCAATTCCCTGTGCTTGCAGAGTTCGCTACTATAAACAAGCAACCAAGAGCAAGTCGGATGATGAGGGATGTTGTGGAGAAAAAGGAGAACACAGGACGAGGGATGGGGTAGCACAGGTAGCGGGCAGCCTGGGAAGGCCCTGCTGTACGGTGACGTTGGAGCAGAAACCCGCAGCAGATGGCGGAGCATACTGTGCAAATTCTGGGGGTGACGACAAACAGAAGGGCCAATGAGGCCAGACTTGAGAAGAAGCATGTCTGACATTCGCACAAAGGAGGCCGCCGCACATCAGCGGGGCCCGGAGGCCCAACTCCACAGGCCCCGAAACGAAGGTCAGCTCTGTCTGGGACCCAGGGGGAAACCCAGGGAGGCTTTAACAGACCACTCTCAGAGCACCCGGAGACATGGGCACAGGGGTGCTTTCAGGAGGTTTCTGCGGGCTCAGAAGAATCAGAGAATTATCCATTCAAGGGCTAAAGACTTTCAGAAAAGGAGATTTCGTGACCTGAGTATTGACACAATGGTTTTATTAAGTTACAAGAAATTTCTCTTCAAATCTAACCTGAACTCTTAATGCTGCAATTTCAGGTCAAGAATTCTACCCTGGGCGACAGTGGGGGTCACACCCCAGGCCTAGGGTGCCCTGAAGATGGGGGGACACAGCACTTTGGAGGGAGGTTGCCTGGGCTGGGGAACTCCTGGAGACTGAGTATTGTTGGGGGAGGGCTTCACCTTGCTGGAAATCTAGAGGCCCAGGTGGGCCCAGAGGAAGGTGGAGAGGCTGGTGGCCACTCAGCCCCAGTGCAGACCAGCGGGTAACTGGCTCCATGACGTTGTACAGTTGAGCTCAGCAGGCCAGGAGTGGAGGAAGGGTTCCAGGCAGCCACTGTGTTGAGGAACAGAGCCGCCTGTCTAGCAGTTTCCAACCAGGAAGCAGCGCCAACGGCTCAGAGTGCAAACCCAGGTACGTAGCTAGGATCTCAGCTGAACTGCCAAAAGCAGTGACAGGCTCCCCTGATGAGAATCTGAGAGGTGCGTGGAGGCAGGGCAGACAAGAGGAATGCTCAAGCCCTGGCCCCTCACCCTCCATGGGTCTGATCTTAATGTGTTCCCCAATTTCTGGGTCTTAATTTCCCAAGAGTTCGCTCTCCCGTCATCTCCCCTACCAAGCCCAACACGCAGCCAATGGTGGGCAGAGGCATGTGAAATGCCCCAGGAGGGGCTGGGACTCCCCTCCTCCCTGCGCAGGGGGCCGGGCCAGAGCAGGGATGGGACACAAGCAGGGACGGTCCAAGGAAGACACACTCCGAAACGCAGCCCGCCAGGCTCCCTCTGCCACCCCTCTTCTGCTCCTCCTCCCTCAGTTGCCTATTTGGGATCTCAGGACGAAGAACCAACATTTCAAGAGAAGCAAATGGCGAACCACTCCCCATTCAGGAGGGAGGCGTGAGGGAGGGCATATGGCCCCTGATCCTGACAGGCGGCCACTGAGGGAGGGTGGGGAGCATGCCGTGCTCCGGGCACATCGTCTCCTCCGCACTGGCCGGCCTGGCTGCCTGCCAGGCGAACGTGGGCCCCGCTCCAGGAGCGAGGCGGTACCAGCACCCACTCACTGGGCCTCCAAACGCCAGCACCCATGCTATTAATAGCACCAAGAGCTGGAGTCAAGGCAGACTGTGGGGAAAATAGGCTGACTTCAGAGGCAGCTGCTCACAAAGCCCTGGCTGTTCCGCACCGGTCAGGACTTGTGCTTCTAGCCTCCAGTGGGAGACACAGAAGATGGCGTGCACCCAAACACAGGCACTGCTGTGGGGCCACCTTACCTGCCTTGCCACCCGCCGTGCCTCCCAGTAGGGCTTTGAGTCCTCCACAGCTTTGCCAATTTTCTTCACCAGCTCATCCAGCTTCACCGTCGCTTCCACCAGAACTGAGCGGAACTTCTGGCGCGCATCCTGCAGCGGGAAATGGAGGACAGCGCAGGCTTAGCAAGGGGGTGCCAGTATGCTTTTCCTCACCAGAAACACCAGGGAGGCCCGCACACCTGCAAACCCCTCAACTCACACCTGTGGGAGGCAGTCCAGAGCGGCACCACCCAGAGCTTCCCGCCACACTGGACGTGGGCCACCCAGCACGGCGGCTGCCAGCCACCTGGCTGAGCTCTTGAAATTGGCTACTGAGACTGAGGAAATGAGACTGAGATGTGTTTAATTTAGGTCACACTGGATGGCGCAAGTTAAAAAGCTCTGTCCAGGTCCCCAGGGAGGGTGTCCAGCCCAGTCGGCCCTGGAGGCTTCAGTCCTTCATGATGGCACCGTTTCCTACCCACCCCATCAAGTCCTCCACCATACAGCATGGGCAACATTACACACTGAGGGCAAAGTTCCCACACGCCAGTGCCTGTGTGGGCCTTGTGCTTGGTCTCTGCCTTCGGGCATGCCCAGTGTGGTGGCTAAGGCAGGTGTTCACAGCCACTGCAGGATCTGTGCAGGACGGGGACAGTACAGGTGCCACAGAGCCTGGCGGCAGGGAGCTCGCAGGGCAAGGCAAGCGATCAGTGGGAGGCCCTGGAACACTTCAGAGGGGCGACAACCACACAGAAGCCTGAAGCCTGAGTAAGCACTTGGGGCGGCGAGAGCAAACACTGATGCCCGAGCAGGCAGCACAGCCATGCTTGGCCGCAGGAGAGGGAGTGGCACGGTGCGGGCCAGCGGCTGAGGAAGGTGGGGCCTGGACTATGGAGAAGGGTCACAGGTCAGGGTGGGCTCATGCCCTGGAGGCAGCCACCAGCAACTGCGGCCTTGGGAAGAGTTTGCATGGGAGGTACAGGCAGGCAGGGCATGCCCTGCTTGCCATATTGTGAAAGTAGAGAAACCAGATCAATGAACATCACGAAGAGGAAAAAATTGAGATGTAGCCCTAGGTCTAGGGAGACATACTGGAGGGTCAGGTCAGGACTGCACAGATCCCACCGCCCCCTTTCTTTCCCTTCTGTATTTGTCAGACACAGCCACACCTCGGGATATGCGTGTGCGCCTGAGAGGGGAAACCGGTACACAGAGAAGGACCAACTCATGACCACTGGCAGTGGGGCTGCCACAGGACCACACAGCCACCCTGCTGGTAAAACACATGTGTTCCATTGGCTGCAAAGGCCAACCCCACAAGTAACTATCTGAAAACTATTTCTAAGAAGCCATGTGCAGGGCTTCTTGAGCCAATGGACAGCTCCCAGGGGTGAAGGAGGCTCTGAGCACTTCTAATTTCCTTCCCCTCACACCGGGCATGGGCTTGCAAGATGGGTTTGCAGATTATGCCCACACGCCAGCATGTGAGCAAATGGCCTCTACCTGGGGCAGGGGTATCTCAGCTCTGAGCCCCATCTGATGTCTGAGCCTGGCGTTGGCCCCTCTCCAGTCCTGTTATTGTTGTCTTCGCTTTCCCTGCCTTCACTCCCATCCAGCCAGGCCTGCAGTCATCCACTGCAGCTCCTGAAGACAGAGAACAAGCCCAGGCCTGTCCTGTAGAGGAAGCACCTCAGATGCATTGGTACAGCCCAGGGGCTGCCCAGGGCTTCTGCGGGACTGGCCTCCCAATGCAGGGGGGCACGTGCTGTCTGAAACCCGGGATTTTTACCAGAGACACAGATCCAATCTCCCTAAGCCTCTGTCTGTGATGTCTTAAACCTAATCTGTGAGGTATCTTCTTTACGAATCATTTTTATTACCCATAAAATAGTTATTTTCCATCTCATAGGGAAGGCTATTTGGAGTAATAAAGGAAAATGTGAATGTAAAACACCTAATAGTTGCTAATAGTGCATAATAGGTGCTCAAAAATGTACACATTTTCCCCCTGGCATAAAGAGACCCATGTTTCTATTAGAAAACATCACGAGGTCTCCCTGAGGCAGGGGTAGCTGACAGGATGGGAGTGAGAACCACCACACTGTGCAGGCAGACTGACAGGACAGGAGAGGGAACGGTTACACTGAGCTGGCAGATGACAGGACAGGAGTCGAACCGCCACACTGTGCAGGCAGAGTGACAGGACGGGAGTGAGAACCGTCACACTGTGCAGGCAGAGTGACAGGACGGGAGTGGGAACCGTCACACTGTGCAGGCAGAGTGACAGGACGGGAGTGGGAACCGTCACACTGTGCAGGCAGAGTGACAGGACGGGAGTGGGAACCGTCACACTGTGCAGGCAGAGTGACAGGACGGGAGTGGGAACCGTCACACTGTGCAGGCAGA